GCGCCACCTTGTAAGGGGCGGCCAATCTTGGGGTGGCGGGGGGGGGCGCTCGGGGTTTGTTTGTTTTTTGGTTCGGCAGGGCGGCGCTCGAGGGTTTTTTGTTGTTGTTGTTTTTGTTTCAGCCAGGCAGCACTTGGTGGGGTGGGTTGTTTTTGTTTCGGCGGCGTGGCGCAGCGCTTGGGGGGGGTTTCAGTGGGGCGGCACAGCGCTCGGGGGGGGTGTTTCGGCAGGGCGACGCAGCACTCGGGGGGGGGTTTCGGCAGGGCCGGGTGGTGCTCGGGGGGGGAGGGGGTACAGCGGGGCGGCGCTCTTTTTTTTTCTTGCTTGGGGTGGCAAAAAAGTTAGAGCCGGCCCTGGCTATGGGGTATCAAGTTGGCCCACCCTGTGCTCTTATTGACTCAGACAGTGTTTGAGGTGGGGAAATTGAAGTAATGCTCTCCCTAACTCTCTGAAAAAACATTAACTTCACCCAGCACAAAGACACATTCCCAAGTCCAAAGAGCTGGTTGTGTTCTTTAAAGGAAAACAACTCTTGGTTTTCAGGGAAAGTTAGTAGTGAGCAGATTTAAAAGTTTATTAGATAATATTTGAAAAATAAACGATACAGAAAATTTGAAGCGTCCGTTATTGGTCATTGGGGGTAACATACAGCATATAGGGAGACGTTAGTATTTTGGTGTTGGGCAGCACACATAATATATACAGACTGCAATGTCCACAATGGGGCAGGGGTAAACGGTGGGCGGGATCAAGATACAGCCGACAAGCAGTGAGGGTCCATCACTCATACAGAAAGTAGAGACAGTCATGGGTATAAGTAAGTGGGCTGGGTAATGGGGATGGGGTGGCCCTCACGTGGTGGGATTCAGTTAGGTTCGGTGGGTTCAGGGCTCAGGGGATAAAGCTCAGCAGGGGGGTTTATAGGTCTCTTCCCCCTTGTGGGTGCACAAGGTCTCCCCAGCTCACTCCCGGTATATTAATATCTCAGTTTACCCCCCAGGTGTACCGTGTTAATGGCTTTGTCCCGATACATTTGTTTAGCATGGCTGCACGATGTTTCTGGGATGCTGACACTGACAACTATGCACAGGATGTTTTTATGAATGTGAGTATTTGCAATTTTTTCAGGGGAAAATTGAGTGACTCTATTCTGTGTGTGTTTATATAGAGAGAGAGATTCTGATCATAGAATGTGGACTTGATACATTCACCTCGAGGCCATTTGTTAGTACTAAGTACCAAAACAATATTGAAAACAAATACTATTGTCAGTTACTACCGGTGTGGTGCTCTGCTCTTGTTCGATGATAACAATCGGCTGTGTGCTTGTTCCCTCTGTGTAGGGTGACCAGACAGCAAGTGTGAAAAATCGGGACAGGTGGTGTGTGTGTGGGGGGGGGGGGGGAA